TTAATATCCAGTTCCTTATTTCTATTTTTGGTAAACCGATTAGGCTAATTACATGTAGGCATAGTAGGCATAGTAGATTTTTCGTGCAGGGATGGGTCACTTTCCTTTAGACTTAGCATTGGGTAGGACGGGCTCTGGACTTTGTACATTTGTTAGGTAGGCATTCATTTTTATTGAGGCTTATAAGTATAAGGTCGTTAGTACATCAGTTTTCGTTGTAAATACATGTATATAAATGTAATTATTTTTGTGCTGTTAATAAAATACAATTGTTGCCATAATAAATACTTGTTAATTTGCAAACTCTTGTTATCAAAATTCTTGGGTTAGTAAGTCACTTTTGTGACTGAGAATTAAGAGGTTTATTGGTTAGTAAGAAATTGGATAAGGCGAAGTACTATTATTGATAAAGAAAGTGTGTGTGATATTAAAGAGGTATTTTCATACGGTCATTTTCGCTACACTGGTATCGTGGAATTTCCTCAATTGCATCGATCCCATGTAGCGAATTCCGGTTACATTGATGCCGTGAGTGGTACCTAGGTTTTGGGGGAAAACCAAATCCTGTCCCACTACTAACCGCTTCCAAGTCTTGCATAGGCAAATTGTTCATAGCCCATAAGTTTTAAAAGGCCTAGTTAAAGGAGAATGTACCAGACATCTGTGAAATACTAGTGATCATGCTGTATTGCAAATCATCTTTAAAGATTTTAAAAATTATCTCGGAAAAAGAGGTTATAACTATTAAGAAATTGAACCTATTACGCAAGATACAATTGCTGCAAATAGAATGGATCTTCTCAAAAAATCAAAGAAGAACAAGATGTGTTTTTGAAACACTGATGCCCCCGTATGACAACATTGTGAAGATTAATTTTTTTAAATGCAAATTTAATATATTGGAACCAGACGAAGGGTATTCTCACTAGAAATACAATTGTGAAATATAGAAATAGGCCAAGATTAAAGTTTTTTCATTAGTACAGAAATCTCCAACGTCGAGATCAAAAGATCAAGGTAAGTGTGCAATGAAAAGTCTTGCCACAAAAAATGCATACGTGAAGTGTAGACGCCCTAGCCCTAACCCTTCAGAAGTTATGAACAAGGTTAAAAAATCTAGAAAGAAGGTTAAACTCCAAGGTCAAGGTCAATGTTTTAAAGGTCTTTACAAATGATCCATTCAAATAAAAGGTCTTAGTAGTATAAGCCGCCTGGATGGGGAGGTCAACTGAGTGCACTTTTGGCCCCGGGGGTATAGGCGGTTCAACTGAGTGCAGTCTACCTGGGGGATAGCTGGGTCGACTCAGTACAGGGCCTTTGGGGGGGATAGGGGGTCAGCTCAGTACAGGGCCCCTAGGGGCTAGGGGGTTCAACTCATTACATAGCTCTAAATACTGTGTTTACACTGTATATAGATTTTTACTATACGCTGCTACTACGATTCACAACGCTGCTACTACGATTTGGCAGCGACTCAAGTATGTGATTATGACGTCACGATTTCATTCACAGTCAAAGCCAGCCAGTTCAAACTGGATTTTCTGAAAACAATAACAACACACAATAACAAGGCAATTTTTATTCGGAATCAAAATACATCAATTTACTTTTTCTTCTTCTGTGCCTTTTCAGTCATCAGCGATAGTTTCCTCTTGTGATTAGTGCTGGGACCTGGAATCTCTCTGTTTTTCTCTTTTTTGTCTCCTTCTTTCACTATGGGTTTGGTCTGATGTGTCCCTGAAGTCCTGGGTTCCTGAGGCTTTTTCTCCAGTTTTTCTACTTCTTTCACTAACTGATCTGTCTTCCTTCCTAGCTGGCTAATCTTTTGCATCACTTCTTTTCTAAAATCACCTACTAGTATATCATTATGAATTGTATGCATGATAAAGGCATTTTGATTTAAGATACCGCATATCAAACTCCTGTCATCTACGTCCATAAGAATCTGTGTTTCTGGTACGGTCTCTGTTGTATTTTCCTCTGCCATATCTTTTTCTTACCTCTATCAAGTTCAGAATGCTAACGAAGTGAGATCCTGAATTTTCAGATCTGATTTATATACCATTGGGTTGTTTAGGGTCGTGTGTATAAATTTGTTGGACTACGTTTAATCGTACAGTGTACGATTTTGTACACGATCTAGTCAGCGAGCTACCTATGCATTATGACGTCATACATTTGTAAATTAAAGTTTCATTTTCACTTTTGTTTCTAAGAAGTGAACTTAGAATTTCAAAAAATGTAGGACTATCATTTGTTTTTCCTCTCTTTTACTTTGATGATTTTCCTGCTGTGAAGCTTTTTTCTTGTATAAAGGTCAATTTCTCCATGACCACGGAAGTAAACATCCTGATGCATTCTTGTCATGTGAATGTTGAGACCGTGTTCATTTTTGAAATCTCCTTTCTGACAGACCTATTCCACAGGTAAGTTTGTCTTATTTTTGTTTACATTTCCTATGAAGGTCATATTTGCATTTAACCATGATTTATATGTAAAAGTTCTATTTTGAATGTAAATATGCTGTATTTATCCTCATTTCATGTGATTTACAGTTGTATAACCTGCATGTAACTCAGAGTGCATTTAATATTTCTATGATGGATCATTCTATGATTAAATTTAAATCAGAAAAATATTCACTAAATTTTGGTGAAATACATGGTATCTTTTACGTTTCTGTCCCTTTTGTCTGTAAATTATTCCTTTACTAACATTGTAAAATGAGGTTAAATGTGTATCACTGAATTGTATAATTTTTTTCAGGATCAGCTGAGATGTTATTTCACTGGATTATTTAATGGATAGGCTTATTGGGCATATAGTTGGATATCTCTGGTAAGTTTGTCTTGTTTTAATTTTTACATTTCCTATGATGGTCATCTTTGCATTTAACCGTGATTACATATGGTTAATTTAATTACTGTGTAATACTTATGTGATCTGATGTCTCTAACTTACATTCATATAAGCACACCCTTATTTAACTTAAATATATCTAGGGATGTTTAGAATATTAAAAAGTCCTTTTGTATAAATTATATAATTTCATAATTCATTATGTATGTTAAACATGGAATTAAGACTCACTAAATGGTGTATCGGTAGCGAGAGTTTAAATACCCAGTTCTTTTACCTTCGATAGAATATTGTATGACTTTATTTGTATCACTTTTGGGTGTTTCTTTAGGTGTATTTTTGTGCTCGATATTTTTTTGGTGAATTCTTTAAATGTATTGGGCGGAAGTGAGCAGCCGGAAGTGGTCGCCATATTGTTTTGAATTTACAATACAATGTATGCTTTATATCATAACTTGTTGAACTATTTAGACAGACATGTTTCATTTATACTTTATCTAAATATTATACATTAAAGCAATATTAATATGAGCTGCATGTTTGACATCGGGAAAAAATATTTCAAATTTGTAATTAACTATTTCAATGACAGAAAAATAGAACGTTTATAAACTTCTGTTGTTCATATTTGCTATGGAAGAACTTTTTATAAGCTTTTATTGAAGCAAAATTGAATTATTGTCGTCCTGTACGATAATGATTTCTTATATAATACTGTATATTTGGTTGTACAGAAATATTTCTTCTGAAACATTTTTAAACTTTATTTTGGTCGTATTGATCATAAAGGTTTAGATTACGTACAGAAAAATCATAATAACACATTTTACCAGCAAAATAAAATTTTCAAAAATGCAGCTCATATTGCTTTAAGTGTTGCCATTATATTATGTTGCCTCAATGGAAAACTTATGAGTCCTGTAAATTGTAGCGTTATGACATTGGTGATGTACGAGGACGTAGCTGAGTGAGCTTACGATCCAGATGGGACAATACAGTCAAGCTTTCTGAGGGTTATCATCGCCTTTCCACAAGTTCCGGGACTACAGCCCCAGAAGCGATCGGACGATTGATGAACCTAAGCTGAAACTTTTGGTGTTGAGATTCAGATAAGTCGATCTGAAAGGAGTTAGAACATAGAGCTCGTGATTGTGGCAAACCTAGATATAAAGAACTGTGCAAGTGAACATTACAGGGCAACAATATAAATCATAATTAAATATAATCTTATAAAGAAAACATTTAGTCTGTCTGTCTGTCAAGTTATGAGGTTTATTGATTTTTTTCTTTTAAGTATATGTGAAAGAGAGGTGTGCAAGTGCGTGTGAATGTTAGTGTGATTATGTAAATTTATTTTCTTTCATTTTTTTGGTAAATAAATTTCTTTAATTGGAACTATCTTAAGTGTTATTTGGAGGCAGCCCGGCTCAACCACGTTACAAATACTGACAGGTATTAAACAAAATTGAATCTGCTGTTAATAAAAAGTCTGTTAGTTTCTAAATAATTAATCTGATAATCATTTTATTTGTGATATTAATACAGTAATTATGCTTGTTTATTAACTAAAGATAACATGATGAACTTTTCTCATCTGGAGTTAATGTTAAAAACAATTTTTGAGATTAAAAACAAATATTTTCATGATCTTTTTTGGCATTGTTGTATTTAAACATGCATTGTTTCATGCAGTACTCTGTCATATTTACAAAATGCTTTTATTTCTACAGTCATCAACATGGAAGATATGTTTTGTTCCTAACCATCTATAATCCATTCTCTATGAAGTTCAGCCTGTCTGCTCTTCCTTTGAAAATACACAGTTAGTCAACCAACAAAGAAATACACAAACTTGAAGGTAAACTTTCAATGAGATACAATTGTAATATTTATTTATTTATTATTTATTTTAACATATGCATGTGTATATTTTTCATTTGATAAGTAAATGATGTATGTTTTTTTTTTTTAAATAAAGTGGGCTTGGTGGTCATGGTCATGTTTAGACTATAATGATATTCTTTAGAAAAAAAAGAAAAGACATAAAAATTCATGATTAAATTTTAAAACTAAAATATATGAAATTATTCTTTGCCAAATGATAGTTAACAGCTGAAGATAACATATCTATAGAATAAGTTAAATATGGCTAATTTGTTAACCCCCAGCTTCCTTAATATCATAGTGGGTAAAGATAGCAAGTTTTGACTCCAATTGCTGATGAATTCTGAATTTTCCATTTAATATTAGCATTATATCACAGGGAAAGAATATTATAATGTGGCCCATCAGGATGACTAGAAAAGAAATCCTAATGACCCCCTTACTATATATAAAGACTGTAACATTATAACTGATGTAAGATGATCTGATTTTGTGGAATTAAAATTTCCTGGTGTTTCTAATACCCAAGATCTTCTTATGAGTGCATGGGACTGCTGTAAACCTTCTCCTGTTTATAAAAATATACCTTGGAGCATGACACTTTATTCATTTAAGGTACTTTCAATATCATTTCTATGAGTTTGTGTTCTTTCTTTTTAATAATCTAGTAATGAATTCAAGTGTTATATCTCCTTTAACCTCATTAATATGTATGCTTCCAAAATCTTAGATCTGTCTGTATAGTTTCTTCAGCTCTTTGAACACAAATACCCTGATTCAATCTTTTGAGGTAAACATCATTGAGACATCATAGATGATTATCAGAGTGTATATATCACAATCTTAACCATAAGGTCAATTTAAATGGTCTAAGGCACAACAAATGGAAATGGGGATTAGTTTGACAGGATACATAATTTTGTAACAAAGTATAACACTGGAAAGTTACTCTGATAATGAGCCTTAATGTCTTCCAAGAGTTCAGTTTGGACTTCCTCCATTAATTCTTGTATCTTCTCCAATGGTTTTTTGGGTTAAAATTCATGTGTCTTTAACAACATTTTTTTTTCTGACAACTGTTTTCTCTTATCATCTATAAACTTGACTTCTTCTCTAGTCAAAGGTCTTTCAGGGTAATCCAAGTAATTCTTACCCTCTTTTGGTAATAAATGGTTATATTCTTCATTGGCTTCTTCTTCAATCAAGGGTCTTTCTATGTAATCTCTGACAACCTTAGGATAACCCTTTTCTGGACAGAATTGTTTAGTTATATTCTTCTTTAGAAATGATCTCAACCATTGTGCCATCTTTTTTTATTTTAACTGGTATTCCCCTGTCTACATCTTTCTCTGAAAGAACTCTCTTTCCAAAATGAAATTTACTCATTCCTTTACTCATTTCTTTACTGGACTTGTTACCCATGGTTAATATAAAAAGTCAAAATCTGATGTTAGACCTTGTATTCATACCCTTTTTGTCTATATTTAGAATTCCATCAAGATTATATTACATAATTTTTTTTTCAACTAAGACATTATTTTTGTTTTCTTTTCCAGGACTCTCTAGTGAGAGCTTATGAAAATGATGTATGTCTACTCTCAGAATGGAGAAAGTCTATCAGATTTTTCAAAGACTATCAGAAAATCCTCTCTTGGAACACTGAAACCAGAAAATCAAACAAGAGGTGGATGGAGGATTTAAAAAGCACATAAATAAATATGATTTCCAAGGAATTGAAGCAGTACGATCATAAATTGTGGTCTACAGGATGACAAAGAAAGGACCCAGGATTGTATCTTTTACTGTCAGACACTGACTATGGTTAAGATGTAGTCATACATCAAAGGGAGATCAAGTCTAATCAAGTATTGAGAAGATGATTTTCTGATAGCATGAATTTATTCTCACCAACTTCAAAGTATCTATAGGTGACTTTTATTTTTACCAATTCATATTGAAGACAGTTGTTATATGTGAGAAATATACATATAAACCTTTTATTTTTCATCTTATTTCTGTAACCCCCTAGAAATTACATAGATATTTAGATGCTAGATTTGATGTAATTATTACTTTCCTGGAAATGAAAATATATTTTATTTATGTATATGTGTGTATTGTGCCCTACAATTATATTTAGAAATTGAAATATGATAAAGGTCTGATAGTATCCCACATCAAGATGCAGGTGCCCAATAATCTGTGATGCAATAATATCTTGAATATTTTTTATCATCTCATACACTTCATATGCTCTCTACACATATCAGGTTATAGTAATAAACATAGTTTTATAGGACGAAATTGTCAAGGTCACTGCATGCGATTATTTAGATAACTACATTTGAAAATAATTTGTAACCTACAAACTTCACATCATAAGTTAAGAATGAATCGGAGATTTTCTATAAATTTTAGAATTAATTTTTCTCCTCGGTAAAAATCAGTTGCTGAGATTACTAATATGAGCCTTGTAATGTTGAAACTTTAACATTTTGTTATAACCTAAAGACTTTATATGTGCTGTATTGGGTGTCATGGCATATTCTTTGGAATGGATTGAAAATGTAAATCAAATGCACAACAAGATGGTTTAAAGACTATTACTATGTAATACCTTAGAATTCTCTAAAAACTCTTATTATCACTGCATAGATAAAGACTGGTTGGAATAATATATGTTTTTAAATAAGGTCAAGGAAAAAAAAAACCATTGATAAATAAATAGGTATGGGGAAGACACCTCTAGATTTTGAGATCTTCATTTAAAAGTATAGAAAGTTTTTCAGTTTGAAAGAATAAATGGTAGCATATCATTTGCTTGTAAATTTAAGAATAAATCAAACATATACATCTTTAGATGTAGACTGTAGAATTTTTCAATTCTTGGACTTTCTGTCTTGATATTTCCTTTGTTTTCTGTAAAATTTAATGATTGTCATTAAGTTTAGTTGAAATAGTTTCTTTTTTGGCATGTGAAAATGACAGCATCCATAGAAGTTCATCTACATTTTATATGTAGGAGAGAATTTTTCATCACAGGGCAAAATTTAATGATTGTCATTAAGTTTAGTTGAAATAGTTTCTTTTTTGGCATATGAAAATGACAGCATCCATAGAAGTTCATCTACATTTTATATGTAGGAGAGAATTTTTCATCACAGGGAAAGAAAGAGATTGTCTTTGTTAAACATAATGCATTGATACACAAATATACTTTTAGATTTCTAATAGGTTTTATTTTTGTTTACATGGAATGCTAAGTTTTGTTGATTTCAATTTTTCCTACCAAAGTTATACTAGTACAGTATTAAATGTACATGATGTTTCAGAAAAGCATGTGGAAACCTGATGACTTTATCATTTCTGATTAAATCAAACTATGAGTTTCATCTTTGTTAATAGGGCACACACTAGAAACTCTTAAAATTATCTCTCTCTGCTGTTCTATCTGAGCATCAGGGTTTAACATTACATAACTATTCCAAATGACTTTTGGACGCTTTTTATGTATCAAAAAAGACAAAATAGAATGTTAGTTCACAGATGTTCCAAAGGAGAACATCTACAAATAAATGATTTGTTATGTTCTTTAAGTGATTAACATAAATTAAATTTTAAAAAGTGTACTCTAACATTTATCTTTTGCATAAATAATTTTTTTTGTGGAGAATTTTTCATAACTTTGAAAAAGTAGTTTTATTGTGTAGTATGCTTTGCTAAAAATCTTGTATACTTATGCATATTACATAATTATAAAATCTTTGCCTTACAGGGGTCTTCAACATATATTGTGGTTTTATCTTAAATTAATTTGCTTATGTAATCAAGAATTTGAGAAAACTTAATATATAGAAAGAGCAAAAAAATCACGTTTTAAGAAATGGCTTTTTACTGCAAAGAGGTTCATCTATATTTTTAATCTATAAGTACATTTAGTCTGTACATTTAAGATATATCTGTATGAAATAAACTTACATTTAAGCATTTTAAGACAATGGTAAACATTACTTTAACCAGTTTTTAAAAAATGATGAGATTCACTGTCAGCAAATTATTTCGTGTAAACATTTTAAATAAATGAGAGAGCAAACATTTTTATTTGCGTCATGTTTAAAAGTAAATAAGAACTGGAAGTTGGAAATATTTCACAAAACTGATTGAGCATAATTCTCACTAACACAGTTTGAGTATTATGATTTCACCCTTAAGGAATTTCCACCCTCACAATTTTATGGGTTCAAAGTACAAAAACTGCATTTATTTTCATTCCAACTACTTTAAACTTTTCATTTATTGCAAAAAATGTATCGGTCACCATATTATTTAAGATGCGAAACATAAATAAACAGAAGTGTATGTCAACATAAAAAATTGTACATTTTTTGTAAACAGTTTTGAGAAAAATATGTAAAAACTGGTTAAAATGAATAATTCTGATGCTGAGTGTTCCTAAATACTTCCTACTTAAAAGATACTTTTGAATTGTGAATATTTTAGGTAAACTATTTTACAGAAAAGCAAATGCCTGAATGAAGAGACCTTAGAAGGAGTTAATGCCCTTGTAAACATTTTTTAAAGATTGAATAATTGATTAAATATAGAAAATATGCATTTTTTAAAATTCTTTAACTAAACAATATTTATTATTACACCTATTATAAAGCATTCTTCCAAGAGATTTTTTCTATAAGGTATGAATTTTAATTAATTACAGTTTTTGCAAAGATCTATGACATCATAGGAGGGTGGAATTACCTTAAAGAAACCATTTCAAAGGAGATGGGTGAACTTAGCGTGCAGAAAGCCCAATAGCTTCAGATATATAAAAATATATTCAAATTGTGAATTCAGTATTTAGAGTAAAGTTCTCATCATTGATTTTTATGAAATCATGAGAAACAAAAAGTTTTGAGGAAAATTTTTCGTTAAAATGCATTCTTTATATAAAAAAATAAATAATAAGGTATCCATT